CAGCCTAAGCCCTTTATGATAAAGCCAGTATAGATATACTTCTAATACCCCTCCTTTAGGGCATTGCTCTCCAAAACCGGACTGGGGCAGATGTCTGGGGAAAGTAATGCCTCAGGATGGTGCAGTTACTTCCGAGAGAGCACATCTGTCAAGACAAAGCGAGTTTGCCAACACAGTTACTGGGGCCCCAACCATGGCCATAGTATTTCTTGTTTTGGGCAAAGAGCAAAAAGCATAAATTATGATTTGTGTCAAAAGGCAAGAGTCTCAGAGGAGCAGAGATTTGACTCTCACTAGCTCTCTGATAGAAAAGGAGAGGTGACAATATTCCCTTTTCTGATCTCCAAACCCGGACTAATCAGCTATAATGTATCACCTTATAAACCAGGAGATGCCCCATTTATTTATTTACCTTTCTGACGCAGGTCAGAAGCAACAGGGCAGGATCTTAGCCTGTCTGTCTACCCTATATTTGGGGGATGAAAGAATATGCACTATGGGTCTGGATAGTAAGCCAGTAATAAATACGCATGTGGTTTTGTGCAGGAACTAATGGCTCTGCTGTTAACAATGCCCATAGAAAACAATAGTTTTTTAATATTGTCTATCTAGGTGATTTATGTTTCATGCTAGTTCACAAAGGACTCTGGTTAGTATGTGATTTATGAGTTGGAGCAAAATAATTGTCTGAAGCCTAGCTGAAGGTAGGCTTCCAACGCATTAATAATACATTAGCTAATGTGTCTTTCTTGGCATTGCCTATGCAAATTTCTATTATCATAATAAAAATTACTGTTTATTTTAGATTGGAAACAGCTTTAGGTGAGAACATGTTTTTTATCCGATGTCTTGATTAAATACTAACTGCCAGTTCCCTGATAAACTTTTAACCAGAGGTTTTCCTTTAGACTCAGCTGGTATTCGATCAAGAAAAAGAGGGAGAAACAGCTTGCTTTGCTAAAAACTGAGAGGGAGCTCTCTGTGCTCCTCTTTGGCAAGTGTGGTGAAAGTCCATCCTGGCTGGAAACTTCAAACACAGATAGCTGTCACTGGAGAATCATTTATGAATGTGAATCATTCACAAACAGGGGACATATAAAGTCAGATTTAAAATATATACTGCCAAAATTTGTTCATTTTTTCAAGCAAGCACAGGTGAAGATCATTTCATTTAAATTAATTACTTTCTGACACAGGCAAATGGCAATACATATTGTCTGTCCAAAATAGTATTAGATTTGATTGCATTTATGTTAGGTAGATTAGAAATTAACTTCTCTGCTTGAAATAATTTATGACTTGATTACTTGCTGAATCATTTCCCTTTCCAAATGATGATTTCACACCAACAGGCATATCAGAAATAATCTTTTAGAAAATATATAAGGCATTAGTTCATGGCAATGTATTCTTCAGAAGGAATCATACTATGTCTTTCCTGCCTCCTGCTTTTGGCTCCACTGAGTTTGTACCTGTTGAGTTCCTGAGAACATTTGTCTTTCTGAGATTTCTGAAGAAAAACAGGCTAAAGCATTTGGGGTGACTGCTTTGGAGAATCTTCTTTTGTAAGTTGTGACTTTCACAGCAAATACAATGTATGAATGTGTTATGAACACAAGACTATTTTTGCGGGGAAGTAACAAGACGGTTCGGCTGTCTTCCGGGGATTCGGAGTGGCCTTGCTATGCATTTGTGCCACAAGCTGCCCATGGGACCCATACGCAAATGAATATTTGATCATTATGACTGGTGCTATCCAAAGCAGCTGAAAATAAATACCAGACCGATCATCTTATAAGCTCAGGCTGGCTAGTTTACACACCCTGTAGAATGTAGAATGAAAATGCTTTGTATTTTGCACATGTTTTGCTTATCTCTTATTGCATTTTTATTGTGATAAAATAAATAATAATAGTGAAACTCATACATGGATTTTAAAGAAAAATACAAGAATCCGTTGAAAATTACTAACAGAGATATGATTATCTATACCATCAAAACCATTTTCCATGCATGTGATATGATAAAGTAATATACTCAAGAATAAATGGCTGATTAGCTTTGGAAATATATCACCTTCTTCAATTTCACTGGCAGGAAATTTTCCAAACAATAGAGTTCTGACAACAAGACATGCACGTTAGGGAGGTGACACAAGTTCTGCTGTATCGTTACCTCTTACTGCAGAGATTGAAAAACTAAAAAATGCCCAGGAATGCTGTATGCTCTGGAACTGCTGCCCCTTTCATATGATATACAGCACAATCTTTTAAAAAAAAAAAAAAAAGTCATACCATTAGCTCTATCTCAATATGAGGACATAGACAATTTTTTCTCAGATCCTACAAGTCAATTTTTGTGTAGCTGAGAGGTGGTGAAAAGGAGGCAGGGACTGCATCTGAAACCAGGTCTACAAACTTACAAACCTTTCAGGGTTAATCTGTAAGGGAAATGTCTTTTCGTAACTTAATTGAATAGGATTATGTACTCTTCTGGTTGGCAACTGAAAGGAAATGTTCCTCTCCTTTTTGATCCTTCAAGAGCTTTCTGTACTTTAAACAATGGCTAGTCTCATTTTGAACAAAGCTTACGTTTAATATGTTGTAAGGTGTCTTGAAAGAATTCTCTTGTAGGCATATCCCAGTTTTCTCTTTAAAATCACAGAATATTCTGAGTTGACATATCATTAAAACAGAAATTAAGGAAGAAGTCATATTGTGCCCAAAGTAGAAGTTCAAACTTATAATATCCTTTTGACATTTCGCTAGAAATACCTAGGAAGCCACAATTATATAGAGGCTAGGTATTTTTCTCTATTCTTTTTTATGATCATGTCTTTTATAAACAATTGTATAACTACGTAGAATTTTTTGCTCTGATAAATGTAAAGCAGAATCTTACTCCTAGCAGATGTTCCAAAATTCACATAAACAAGAAGCAAGTTGCTAAAAAATAAAAGGATAGGTAAACGTTCATCTGCTTCACCACTTATTAATTGACCACAGCAAAATATTCAGAATAAATAAAATAAGGGTTATTCTGGGAAAAGAGAATTTTCTTGGCCTAGTATCATAATTTTCACATTTGTTGGAGTTGGATGCAAAGCCAACAGCAGTCAATGAAGATGCAAGAGTTTAGATCATAATACGACGATTCTGTTTTGTTTTGGGTTTTTTTTTGGTGGGTTGGTTTGTTTTTTGTTTTTTTTTTTAAATGGGATTCTATACGTGGCTTATGATGGACTAGCAAAAATACCTTCAGCACAATCAAAAATGTTTTGGAAATCAGAAACATCAAGATTTTTCTTTTATCTCCCATTTCCCCTATACAGAATCATGGAATGGTTAGGGTGGGAAGGGACCTTTAAAGGTCATCTAGTCCAACCTCCCTGCAATGAGCAGGGACATCTCCGTCAGGTTGCTCAGAGTCCCGTCCAACCTGGCCTGGAATGTTTCCAGGGATGGGGCAGCTACCACCTCTCTGGGCAACCTGTGCCAGTGTTTCACCACACTCATCATAAAAAATTTCTTCCTTATATCTAGCCTGAATCTACCCTTTTTTAGTTTAAAATCACTACCCCTTGTCCTATCGCTACAGACCCTGCTAAAAAGTTTGTCCCCATCTTTCTTATAAGCCCCCTTTAAGTACTGAAAGGCAGCAATCAGGTCTCCCCAGAGCCTTCTCTTCTCCAGACTGAACGACCCCAACTCTCTCAGCCTTTCCTCACAGGAGAGGTGTTCCATCCTTCTGATAGTTTTTGTGTCCGTCCTCTGGACCCGCTCCAACAGGTCCATGTCTTTGCTGTGCTGAGGATCCCAGAGCTGAACGCAGTACTCCAGGTAGTTACAGTGAAGTTACAAAGCTTTTCCTTATAATTCCATCAACCAAGCACTGTAATCAATTTTTGAGATTGTATCTTTCCCATTTGCTGCAAGATTAATCTCTAGACGTAAGTTCTGAAGAGTTTTACGGAGAAAGTCTAATTTGCAGAAGGTTGGATACGCAAAACCAACTAAGTTATAACAAACTTCATAATCCATTTACTAAGAATATTGTCTATCGATTTTGAAAATCTGACAAACTTTCAACTGCAGAAATAGGTTTCACCGCCCCAGTCTGTAGCACACTGTATGCTGCAAATTCCCGATTCATAAAACTTCAGGGCAATAGTGCAGTAGAAAGTAAGTATCTAGGAAAAGAGCTTATGAAGCTTTTATTAAGCTTATCAGAAAAATCAAACTTTTTTCACTGAAAGTGTTTATGAAGTACAATTTTATAGAGCAATGGTAATGCGCTGTCTTGTCAGTCCCATACCTCTGTAGTTTTCCTTTCTCGAGCAGTTTAGGTTCATTCTTGGCCACCCCTGTTTTGCACCTAGCTAAAGCAAACACAGGCAATTCCAATTTTTTTTGCCTTCTTCCCGATCTCTTCTAAACATTATCTGTTTTTCTCAGAAGCCCTTCTTTTTGCTAGATCCACCTCAATGAGCAGCGTAAGCAACTAAAGACGCGGCCATCACTGCGGAGGGCACAGGATGGATGCCTAGGTGCGACACCTCGTTTTTCGAGTTCAGATGGACTTGGACCTTTTTTCTTTTTTAACTTTTGTAGTTGTTTGTTTCATTGGGTTAGTCCTACCGACACGGTATTTCAACGTTTGGTGGTGGGCGCCTACGCGGCTTCCTGACTACAGACGCAGCAAGATGCCCTCCCGGGCCGTGTTCCCGAAGGGATCTGCCACCCGAGCGGGGGATGCCGCGGCCATCTGACAGCCTGGAGAAAACCGGCGAACAGCATCTGGCCTCCGCTCTGCGCCGCGCCCGGGGGCGGCGAAGCTCGTCCCCCCTCCCCTGCCTCGCAGACCCGCGCCCCCCCCTCCCCGGGGCCACCCTCCCGGGCGGC